ATGGTCAACTAAGCGTGGATTATACATGTAAAATTGGCAAAGATATTTAGGTAATTACTGGTTATGACTTCTTGGTATTAATTTGAAAAATGTTTGTCAAAATTCGTCCCGTGCGAGTTAGTACATACGTCGGATGTTTTCGCAAAATGCCTGTTCAAATTTCAGTTTTATAGTGGTATGTTTGGAGTGTTCAGCGTGGAAATGGACATCGGGAGATTGTTTGAGACTGAAGTTTGGATTTTTATAAATTCTCATAATCTGCCTAAGAATTGATATCTGCATTCGGTTCACATCAATACAGCCTTTTTTAAGGAATTTTCACTGGGGGGAAAACAGAAAAAAAGGTAGAACGAAAAATATGAGCCATCGAGGATTGGCGAATGCGCTACTGGCGCGAGTCTGAAGAGAGATTTGGTAAAACTTTAATTTATTAACTTCGGTTATATTTTACTTTAAACAATAACTTCAACTCTTTGTAGCTATAATCTACAGCTATAACCAGTGGCATAGCCAAACCTTAATTTTGCAGGGGCGAACCTCATGCCAAAGGCGTGAGACTGTCTAGGAGGGTCCGGTTTCTGGAAAATTATGAAATGTAGGGGCCCTGAATCGCGATTTCATGCATTTTAGGGGTGAAATCTAGCAGAATTCCGAAGATTATAAAGCACATTGAAGACATGAATTTTTCCAGACATTTCCACTCGGAATTAAATAAATTGGAAAAGTCACCCTGAAAAATAGGAGTAGGGGGTCAGTGTCACCTTATTTCCTCTCTGTGATGCCGGGGGGATCCCAATGTGATTTTGATCAGAAATATTGAATTTAAATCATTTTAGGTTCTATGAGACACCATTTCCGCATTCTAAAAATTGTGTTGCTTTTTAATACGATACAGAATAAGTCTGAGAAGAAATATTCATGCTATGATGCATGATGCATACATGTATTTAACAGTTAAAAATCTAAACTAAATCTATTCTTCTTGGAACCATATCTACAACTGCTTTAACAAGATTTCACAAATCAAGTTCCTCCAGTATATCGTCTTTTTCCTCAGTCGAGATGTACTTAATCAGTTTTAGCTTCGAGCATGTAACATGTACCCCTCCCCCCGCCCCAATTTCTCTACGGATTTAGCCTTTCTGAGAGAATGGTTTTTGTGGCGATTGGGGGGGGGGCTCTTAATACAACTTGATATTTTTAAGAAAATACCTCTGCGGAGGAGAGTGCTAGGAAATAGTCGCAAGGCTTTGAAAGGCTAGCATTTTATCGGATTGTTTGCATGAAATGTATCGCTATTATGAAATACTCGGTGAAGAACAATATGAATTACACACAAGATGGCTGTGGAGGAGGCTATGGAAGGGCATAATCTCATCAATATACTAAAACTGTCTGTACCAGTGTAGGTAGTACCAGTGTAGGTAGTACCAATGTCAGCATAGCATAATCTCATCAAGTAAATCAACTGCAATTCTGACAGCAATCATGAGCAATTCTGCTTCGCACTTCAGGGGCAGAAATGGCATTACTGGGGGGTGGGGCAAATTCTTTCCCTGGGGGGGGCAATTGCCCCCCAGATATATAGTTAAAAAAGGAACTGCATCAATATACTGAATTCCAGGTACAATTTTATTTTTGTACAACTTCGTTACATCATATACACAGTCCTCATCAAATTCTTGTCATAAAAAGGAAGTGCTAGCCCCTGTAAATTAGAAAAGTAAAGTGGTCTGTCTTGACTTCATAAGAAATGTATAATTTCTGACGACCCATCCAATTTAGATACATCAATGAAAATGTACTAGGTGGTATACAGTAAGATTATTCCAAAATGTCAACACTTTTAAATAATTCTATATTTGTAAAATAAGACATACTAACTGAATATCTAACACTTTTCTGGTTTGCTATTACGGTTCAATTTATAAAAGTTCGAAAGATGCAAAATTCGGGCAATGTGTATTTCTGCGGTCCCACTTTGTTATGAGCAAAACTAATGCGCACTACTGTAGTATTTTGTGCCTCCTCTATAATAAACATGTGCATGCACTGAACCTGTCATGTGCTCATATAATTATAAGTTATACTTATTTTACCTTCATCAGAGACATTTATTGAAGATACAACATCTGCATCTGTAAATACAAAAATAAAGCGAAACAATTTACACCAAGTATGTATATATATGTATATCAAGGACGGATTTTCTGGGTAAGACTTCAAATTCCCCCGAAATTGTGCACCCCCCGTCCCTGCCAAAATTTAAAAGCACTAAATTAAACTACCGTTAAGTACGATAGAAATATTAAAATTAACGTGTTCCTATATACGCTTTTTTGCAGCAAATTAATGTAAAAGTAAAACACACTTACACAAAATAAGTTCACGTGCTCATCGGCACCACGTGTTGGCAAATTCACAATGGATTCAGACAGGTTTGACAGGTTTACATAAATCTGTCAGATTTTCCAAAGAAAGAAAGTCTATAACTGTCCATGACACCATGTATATAACTAATTTAAAGGATATTCTGTTTCATAAAATTGATGTTGTCTAATCTATTATTGAAATTTGATTATGGACTACCGAGCGTATTTAGAACCACTGATCATTGCTTTGGCGTTGCTTTCACACTCTTGCAGTTTGGTTTTTAGTTTGTCATTGGAGTTGGATTGAAAGCGTGTAGATCTAAATCGATGTGTCAGCAATTAGCGTATCCTATATTTTTATCACTAGGCACTAGCTAATACGCATCAGAAAAGGTTCAATTCATTGTTTGAGCTGCGTATTAGTAAAAAATTCACTTAAAAACATGCATTTTCTAATCATTAAATTAATTTTAAAAGTGATGCCACAACGCAGGAAATGCTGTTTCAGAGCCCCAATTTTTTCTGGGTGGCATACCCCCAATTATGTCGCTCTGCAATGCTATCAATACCATCATCAGGTGGCTCTGCAGTGCTACCATTGTCAGGTGACTCTGCTGTGCAACCCTCCTCGTGATTACATAACACTGATATTGGCACACATTCATTGCATTTAAGGCACATTGCTGAAGGGGCATTGGCTCATGTCAACATTAACTTGCAATGAAACCTATTTACAAAAAAATATATCCTATTAAGCTCCAATGCAAAAAATTGGTTAACATTTTCCTATAAGAAATGGTTAACATTTTTCCATTTTAACCAGGGGGGGGGGGGTTAATTTGATTTGCAAGTTGTATTGTAATTCTGCTTAGCGGATAGCTCTGACCCAATTACAATATTTTTATATATATCAAAATATTGCAAATATAGAATATTTGCTTGCGAATAGGAATTTTATGTCTGTCATCTTGTTATTATTATCATATTAATTAACTCTGCCAAGGGTGTGGAGGAAACCTGCTTTCCAAAGATAAAACTTTAGCTGTAGGCAAATAGTTTAACTGATGGAACAACTAGATTATTTACAGGGTGCTGTCATATAGACACACTCAAACATTTTACGTTCAGTCGCTTATAGTCAGCTGTCGAGGCAAGTCATTAATCTTTTCAGCAGTAATTTTTATACATTGCGATTTTCTCGTGAAGATTGAAGTAATTGTTTTCACTATATATTCAGGTGAGTTTTTTCTTTATAATGCTAATAGTATATTTGATCAACATTTCTTGCGGTCACGTTAGTAGTGGTAGCCTATTATTAATTTTACTGGTATATATCCAGCGCTGACCTGAATTCTATAGTTTACGATGGCTGTTTTGTCCACGAGCACTGATATACCTAAGGTACTGATTTTGGGCCATTCATTTGTGCGTAGACTTCGCAGTGATCTACATGCACGTTTCGACAAGCGGGCAGCCCAAAAATTTTGACCTGCAGGGAACGGCCGAGATATTTATGCATGGTGTGGGAGGTCGAACAGTCCCAAAGTTAAGAAAGATGGATATGGGGGTAATCACTAGAATATCCCCTGATATAGTCATTCTCGATATCGGGACAAACAACTTAGCTCTTGCCCCACCTGAGGTAGTGGGTTCTGACATCGAGGAACTTGTTCGCTCGTTGGTCGTGGAGTACTCTGTGCGCGCCGTGGTTTTGTGCCAAGTCACTCCACGTGCAACAAACAAAGGCTCTAATTTTAATGAGAGAGCCAAGCTTTTGAATCAGTACACCCGGGTAGTGATCGAGCCCATAGAACAAGCCGTTTGTTGGACGCATAGAGGTTTCTCCAACCCATGGGACAATATACCTTGTACAGGAGTTACCGCAGAGCGATAAAACATGCCGTAGGACATACGGCAAGATGATAATTGATATGGTTATGTCAAGTCTGTTATTTAAGTTAGTATTGAGTATTTTATGCGAACTGTGTATTTTCCCTTGGAGCGAACAGTTTGTTCCAACGGTTGTTAGATTTGTATAATATGTGTCCTATACCCTCCGCTATTCTATGTCCTCTGATTGAGGACCTGTCTTATATCCGCTTTTTGAGGAGTAGTCTTATATCCTCTGATCGAGGACTTGTCTTATATCCTCTGATTGAGGATTTGTATTATATCCTCTTGTTGGAGGAGTCGTCTGATATCCTCTGATGGGGGATTTGTCTTATTTCCTCTGTTTGAGGAGTTGTCTTATATCCTCTGATAGAGGATTTGTCTTGTATCCTCAGCTTGAGGATTCGTCTTATACCCTCTTGTTTGAGGAGTTGTCTTATATCCTCAGATTGAAGATTTGTCTTAACTTTTGGCTACACACGGCTGGTGGTGCGGCGACACAACCTGTCAGCCCTGCCAGCCGCTGTGAAAATTATTATCCATTCTCATATTTTCCTAGACAATGAGAAACTATTTTTTAGCAGAAGTGTAGTACTGTTTTGGCACTTGCCCTCCTTTGAATTTATGCTACTCTCTTTAAGCTTTCTCGTTTAGAATGCCACCTAAAAAGTTGCAAGCGAGGAAGCGAGCCCTTCGAACGGCAGACGAAGGCCCATCAGCGCAACACAGCCGTTGTCAATCGACTAGGAACTCGACGTTGGCGTCCCGTTCGACTGTAGTTGTGGCAGCCGAAGATGATTCCAGTGGTATACCGCTGTCCAATGTGCCTCCTAACCACGGTTCAGCAACTCAATCCCGAACTGGTCCAATCAATAGTGTCTACCGTTGCAGTGGAAGTCACCCGCCAACTGGCAGCGACTTTACCAGCCCTCACTTCGCCAACTGATGAGTTTCCAGCGACTCGAAGCATTTCAGGTACGCCAGAACCAGCAGAGGAGCGTCGTTTGTCTGCGCCACCATTGCCTGCAAGTTCAGCTATGACTCTGGTGGAGGGAGCGATAGCTGTGGCTCACTCTAGGATAGCAGGTGCGCCTCAGTTATTGCCTACTAATGTAATTCCTCCTAGCGTTAGTACTCCTAGCAACATTTTTCTTTCGGGGAGTTTGCCGATTGACTCTCAGATTTCCTCAAAAATTAAAGAAAAAATTTGGAATGAGGAGTTTGTTGATTTTGGATCGTTGTTGAGCAATCCAGGGCAGGAAAAATACCAGATTTCGGTACAACATTCCGACGCCGGACCCCCAGCTTCATTTTGTCTCGAACCAATGTCGCGAACGAAAAAAATCACGTCCATCGAGGTTTGGCAACAGGCTTTTCATATTTTTGTTGGCATTTACACACAAAAAAAACCACATGAGGCCCCCGCTCTCATGAAATATGGGCAAACTATTCAGGACTTGGCTGTGCGAGGTCAGAACTGGCGTTATTACGACGAAAACTTTAGATATTTACGACGCACGCAGGCGAGCCTGGTCCCTTGGGGTTCGATACACGGTGAACTGTGGTTGCGTTCGCAATACCCAGTTAGAGCGCCGCCGCCAAATAAACAAATGAGCGGAATTTCAAAAACTGTAGGCCCTTCAGTGCCTTCAGGATTTTGTTTCAAATTTCATCGCGGTCAGTTTTGTGCAACTGGCAGTTGCGGTTTTAAGCATACTTGCTTTAAATGCAACAAAGGTACGCATTGTGTGAGCCAGTGTAATTTCCGTGGCTCAACCAGTAAATCAAATGCCAGTGCTGACCGTCAAGCCAAGTCTCCCAACACCAGTCAAGCTCAAACCTCTAGTTAAGTATCTTTCTGGTTATCAGCCAGATATTATTAAATATATTATTTCCGGATTTTCATCAGGTTTTCCCGTACATTTCGAAGGGCATCGACAATTTTTTATACCCAAAAATTTACCTTCGGCTTTACAAAATCCTACACATGTAGACAGGAAACTGGAACAAGAGTTGGCTGAAAACCGAATAGCTGGTTCGTTCACGTCTCCTCCATTCACTCTTTTTGTGTTTCACTGCTTGGCCTAATTCCAAAGAAAATTCCAGGTGATTTTAGGCTGATTCATCACTTGTCCTTTCCAAAAGGAATTTTGATAAATGATGGAATAGCTTCAGAGAACACACATGTTCAATATGCTACGGTCACCGATGCTGTAAGACTTTTCAAACGCGCGGGACCGGGCTGTTATTTGGCCAAAACTGATATCAAAAGTGCATTTAGAATCATACCGATTCAACCAAATGACTACCCTTTGTTAGGGATGAAATGGCGGGGACTATATTATTACGACCGCTGCATGCCAATGGGTTGTTCCAGTTCGTGCAAGACATTTGAGATTTTTAGCACAGCTATTGAATGGATTGCTCGACATAAGCTCAAAGTCGACGAGCTGCTCCACTTACTACATGATTTTCTTTTTGTTTCTGCTACATATATTCAGTGTCAATTGAATTTAAGTCGTTTTATTTGTTTATGCAACCAACTTGGCATCCCTATAGCACCAGACAAAACGTTTGGCCCGTCCACTACTCTAACCTTTGCTGGTATAGAGTTGGACTCTATTAAGTCCGAAGCGCGTCTACCGAGAGATAAAATTGCTAAATGCGTAGAATGCATGCTGCGAGAGCTACAATCTTTGATTGGGCTCCTAAATTTCGCGATGAGCGTTATAACACCCGGTACTGCCTTTCTCAGGCGTTTTTATGATCTCACGCAAGGTGTGATAAATCCACATAATTTTATACGATTGCGTTCTGAGGCTAAGGCCGACTTACGGGTTTGGTTAGCATTTTTATCTTCGTTTAATGGAGTTTATCTTTTTCGAAACGAAATTTGGGAAAATTCGATCAAATTAAAGTCATTTACCGATGCAGCCGGCTCTATTGGTTTCGGAGCGATTTTTGGCAATGCTTGGTGCTATGGGCGATGGCCTGATCATTGGCTGCATTGTAACATCGCTATTTTGGAGTTCTATCCTATCGTCCTCAGTTTATGCCTATGGGGCAGCAAAATGCGAAATCATTCTATTTTATTTTTTACCGATAACGAAGCACTAGTTCATGTTATTAACAAACAATCATGCCAGGTAAAATTTTAATGGTTTTTGTTCGTAAGTTGGTCCTAGTCTGCTTAGAACACAACATTGCATTCAAGGCCAAACATATTCCGGGTACTCATAACAAGTTAGCTGATAGCTTATATCGATTGCAGGTTCAAACTTTCAAACAACTGGCACCAGCGAACATGAATCTGTTGCCTACGGACATACCCCTGCACTTGCAGCCTCGAAGCTGGGCGATATAATTACGCATTTGACAACATCTAGCTTACAGCCCTCGTCAATTCCTACTTACACTAGAGCTTGGAAACTGTTTACT